AAGCCAAAATGAAGAAGAATGGTGCGTAGCCGGGCAGTGTAATTAGGCCCATAAGTGCTGTGTCTTCTGATAGTAATTATGAACAGAAATCAACTAATAATTACGAATAACATGTAGGTGACCAATCCTTGAGAGCTGAGGCAGAGAGAAGGAAAGATGGCATTATACCTTGTCTCTGGTTCATTGAGTTTCCCAGGCTGGATTGTGACCAATCTTGGGTGAAACCATAACTAAATCATTTTTGCTAAGGAGATCAGCCTTTGTGGGGTCCTTTCTCTGCACCCTGTCCAATGATAAAGCCCACTGGTTTATGTCTCCTGGAAAAGAGTTATTTCAAAACAGTGTGTGAAGCACTGATGAAACAGCCATGAGGAACACGTTTCCACATGGCCTCGCACCTCCTTTTCAAAGTGCTTTAAAACTTTTTTCAACCAAAAATCATTAAAAGAAAAGGATTGGGATCAAATCCCGCACAGAGGTAGTGTAAGAAAAAAGAGAATAAGGAGCAGAATAGGATCTCTTCAGACAATAAAATCAAGTTGGAAAAGACAGGTCCACAAAACAGATCAAAACTGTAACCTATTATTTCAAAGTGGGCTAAAAGATGTTAGGAAAAACAATGGAAAAGATGAAAGAACATGAATCGAGGAGGGAATGGGAAGTTATTGTTTAATGGCTCTAGAGTCTCTGTTTAGGATGGTGAAAAAGTTCTGGCAATGGTAAATGCTGATAAATGCCACCTATGGGTGTTTGGTTTTAGTTGATCTTCTTCCATGAAACGGTTTGGAGAGATTCAGAAACTATGCTGCTGCCTCCATCTTTCTGAGGTCCTGCTCAATCTTTAGACATAATTATTTTGAATTTCGATAGTGGTGATGGTCGCACAGCATTGTGAATGTATTTAATGTCACTGAATTGTATACTTGAAAATGGTAGAAATACTAAATTTTGTTTTATGTATATTTTACCATAATAAAAAAAAGATGAACGAACAGCATAAACCAGAATTAGTTAAGATGATAGAACTCAGGACAGAATTCAAAATAAAAGAAAAAACATTCAGAAATGAGGACTAAATTTAAAATAATACAAGAGTGGGGACTTGCCTGGTTGTCCAGTGGTTAAGAATATGCCTTCCAATGGAGGCGATGCAGGTTCGATTTCCAAATCGGAAAAGAAGTAAAGCTGTCACTGTTTGCAGATGACATGATACTATACATAGAGAATCCTAAAGATGCTACCAGAAAACTACTAGAACCAATCAATGAATTTGGTAAAGTAGCAGGTTACAAAATTAATGCACAGAAATTTCTGGCATTCTTATACACTAGTGATGAAAAATCTGAAAGTGAAATTAAGAAAACACTCCCATTTACCACTGCAACTAAAAGAATAAAATATCTAGGAATAAACCTACCTAAGGAGACAAAAAACCTGTATGCGGAAAATTATAAGACACTGATGAAAAAGTTAAAGATGATACAAATAGATGGAGAGATATACCATGCTCTTGGATTGGAAGAATCAACATGGTGAAAATGACTCTACCACCCACAGCAATCTACAGATTCAATGCAACCCCTATCAAACTACCCCTGGCATTTTTCACAGAACTAGAACAAAAAGTTTCACAATTTGTATGGAAACACAAAAGACCCCGAATAGCCAAAGCAATCTTGAGAATGAAAAATGAGGCTTTAGGAATCAGGCTTCCTGACTTCAGACTATACTACAAAGCTACAGTAATCAAGACAGTATGGTACTGGCACAAAAACAGAAATATAGATCAATGGAACAGGATAGAAAGCCCAGAGATAAACCCACGCACATATGGTCACCTTACCTTTGATAAAGGAGGCAAGAATATACAGTGGAGAAAATACAGCCTCTTCAATAATTGGTGCTGGGAAAACTGGAGAAGTACATGTAAAAGTATGAAATTAGAACACTCCCTAACACCATACACAAAAATAAACTCAAAATGGATTAAAGACCTAAATGTAAGGCCAGACACTATCAAACTCATAGAGGAAAACATAGGAAGAGCACTCTATGACATAGATCACAGCAAGATCCTTTTTGACCCACCTCCTAGAGAAATGGAAATAAAAACAAAAATAAACAAATGGGACCTAATGAAACTTCAAAGCTTTTGCACAGAAAAGGAAACCATAAAGAAGACCAAAAGACAACCCTCAGAATGGGAGAAAATAAAATATTTGCAAATGAATCAACTGACAAAGGATTAATCTCCAAAATTTACAAGCAGCTCATGCAGCTCAATAACAAAAAAACAAACAACCCAATCCAAAAATGGGTAGAAGACCTATATAGACATTTCCCCCTAGAAGCTATACAGATTGCCAACAAACACATGCAACATGGCTCAATATCATTAATCATTAGAGAAATACAAATCAAAACTACAATGAGATATCATCTCACACCGGTCAGATGTGACATCATCAAAAAATCTAGAAACAATAAATGCTGTAGAGGGTGTGGAGAAAAGGGAACACTCTTGCACTGTTGGTGGGAATGTAAATTGCTACAGTCACTATGGAGAACAGTATGGAGGTTCCTTAAAAAACTACAAATAGAACACCCATACAACCCAGCAATCCCACTACTGGGCATATACCCTGAGAAAACCAAAATCCAAAAAGAGTCATGTACCAAAATATTCATTGCAGCTCTATTTACAATAGCCTGGAGATGGAAACAACCTAAGTGCCCATCATCGGATGAATGGATAAAGAAGATGTGGCACATATATACAATGGAATATTACTCAGCCATAAAAAGAAACGAAATTGAGCTATTTGTAATGAGGTGGATAGACCTAGAGTCTGTCATACAGAGTGAAGTAAGTCAGAAAGAAAAAGACAAATACCGTATGCTAACACATATATATGGAATTTAAGAAGAAAAAAAAATGTCATGAAGAACCCAGGGGTAAATCAGGAATAAAGACACAGACCTACTGGAGAACGGACTTGAGAATATGGGGAGGGGGAAAGGTGAGCTGTGACAGGGTGAGAGAGAGTCATGGACATATACGTACTAACAAACGTAAGGTAGATAGCTAGTGGGAAGTAGCCGCATGGCACAGGGATATCGGCTCAGTGCTCTGTGACCGCCTGGAGGGGTGGGATAGGGAGGGTGGGAGGGAGGGAGATGCAAGAGGGAAGAGATACGGGAACATATGTATATGTATAACTGATTCACTTTGTTATAAAGCAGAAACTAACACACCATTGTAAAGCAATTATACCCCAATAAAGATGTTAAAAAAAAAAAAACAACTACAAATAGAACGACCATACGACCCAGCAATCCCACTACTGGGCATATACCCTGATAAACCAATCATTCAAAAAGACTCATGTACCAAAATGTTCAATGCAGTTTTATTTACAATAGCCAGGACATGGAAGCAACCTAAGTGTCCATAAACAGGTGAATGGATAAAGAAGATGTGGCACAGGTATACAATGGAATATTCCTCAGCCATAAAAAGAAACGAAACTGAGTTATTTGTAGTGACGTGGATGGACCAAGAGTCTGTCATACAGAGTGAAGTAAGTCAGAAGCAGAAAAACAAATACTGTATGCTAACACATATATATAGAATCTAAAAAAAAAAAAAAAAAAAGAAGATCATGAAGAACCTAGGGGTAAGATGGGAATAAAGACACAGACGTACTGGACCATAGACTTGAGGATATGGGGAGGGGGAAGTATAAGCTGTGACAAAGTGATAGAGTGCCATGGACACATATACACCACCAAACGTAAAATAGATAGCTAGTGGAAAGTAGCCGCATCGCACAGAGAGATCAGCTAAGTGGTTTGTGGCCACCTAGAGGGGTGGGATATGGAGGGTGGGAGGGATGGAGACGCAAGAGGGAAGAGATATGGGAACATATATATAAGTATAACTGATTCCTTTGTTATAAAGCAGAAACTAACACACCATTGTAAAGCAATTATACTCTAATAAAGATGTAAAAAAAAAACCAAATAAACAAACCAATCCAAAAATGGGCAGAAGACCTAAATAGTCATTTCTCCAAAGAAGATATACGGATTGCCAACAAACACATGAAAGAATGCTCAACATCATTAATCATTAGAGAAATGCAAATCAACACTACAATGAGAAATCAACTCACACCGGTCAGAATGGCCATCATCAAAAAATCTAGAAACAATAAATGCTGTAGAGGGTGTGGAGAAAAGGGAACACTCTAGCACTTTTGGTGGGAATGTAAATTGCTACAGCCACTATGGAGAACAGTATGGAGGTTCCTTAAAAAACTACAAATAGAACACCCATACGATCCAGCAATCCCACTACTGGGCGTATACCCTTAGAAACCCAATAATTCAAAAAGGGTCATGTACCAAAATGTTCATTGCAGCTCTATTTACAATAGCCAGGACATGGAAGCAACCTAAGTGTCCATTAACAGATGAACGGGTAAAGAAGATGTGGCACATATATAAAATGGAATATTCCTCAGCCATAAAAAGAAACGAAACTGAGTTATTTGTAGTGAGGTGGATGGACCAAGAATCTGTCATACAGAGTGAAGTAAGTCAGAAAGAGAAAAACAAACACCATTTGCTAACACAAATCTAAGGAAAAAAATATACATGGAATCTAAGGGGGAAAAAAAAGGTCATGAAGAACCTAGGGGTAAGACGGGAATAAAGACACAGACGTACTAGAGCATAGACTTGAGGATATGGGGAGGGGGAAGGGTAAACTGTGACGAAGTGAGAGAGTGGCATGGACATATATACACTACCAAACGTAAAATATCTAGTGGGAAGCAGCCGCATAGCACAGGGAGATCAGCTCGGTGGTTTGTGACCACCTAGAGGGGTGGGATAGGGAGGGTGGGAGGTAGGGAGACGCAAGAGGGAAGAGATATGGGAACATATGTGTATGTATAACTGATTCACTTTGTTATAAAGCAGAAACCAACATACCATTGTAAAGCAATTATATTCCAATACAGATGTTAATAAAAATGAAATTAGAAACTAAAAAGTAAAACTGACAAAAAACATTTGTTATTATAAATAACAATGGAAATTAGTATGCTATTATACCCTTAGAACTACTGTAGAACATGCTGTTCTTTGCTGTTCCACTTGTGGCAGGATTCATAGTTTTTCTAACAGGTACAGATCCCTATGCCTGATACTGTGAGGAAATGTTATACTTGAGCTCCACTCTTAACTCTCTCAGGCATTTTTTGGAATTGTCTAAAATGTAAATCCATACTGTCAACCTCCAGCATGATACCAGGCACATAATAGAAACCCAATAAATGTTTCACTGTGAGTGGAGTATAAGTTGATAGAATAATTTTGAAGGTTGATAAGGCAGATTAGATTGATCGAAAATCTTTCAATATTTTAAGTTTGCATCTCTTTCATTCCAGAATTTGTATGTCTAGAAATTTATATATAGTTATATACATGTGTAAAGAGGTTCACATTGCAGCCTATCTGAAACAGAGGACAAAACCAGAAAACAAACAAAAAACCGCAAACTGAAAACAACTAAAAGTCCATCAATATTGGGCTGGTCATGTAAATTATGTAATGTTACGCAGCTATTGAAGAGAATAGAATGGATGTACGCAAAAATTGACTGGGAGAATCACTATCCAAGACAGATTGTAGACTATGTACAGTATGTTGCTCTTCTATAAAATACAGGATATCCCTTACGTACAAATACATACAAGATACAAGTGTGTATGTAAGCACTTGGGAAATATGTGAAAGAACCACACAAGAAAGTGGGAGAGTGGGACAACTTTCCATGTCCCGTATGATTGGAATTCTGAAGGGTACACACACGAACTAATGGACGTGTGCTACCAGCCTCCTGCTAAGGAGGGAAATTGCAGGCATCAGAATCCTCTTTACTAATGAAGAATCTCAGTAGGCCGACGTGATGACATCATCTCGACGGGCGATGGTGATTGCGCAGTAGAAGGAGGTCTGCGAGCTGCGTGGGCTTGTGCCTAGGCGCCTATGTTTCATGGCCTTGTGCTGGCACCGGGGGCGCCGGGTTGGCGACTTTGGCACTCTTGACGTTGGGTGGACGATATCTTGGGGGTCACATGAGCCAGTGGCATCATGCCCGCGGGCGCTGGGGCCAGCGTCGCGGCTTTTCCGGACGTTCGTCGGCCAAGAGGAAGGGCGGAAAGCACATCCTGGAAAGGTAATACGCCTTGGCCCCTGGGCGTTGCCGGTGGAGCTCAGAGCCCTGGGCCTTGGCTTCGTCTCTTGTGCTGTCGCCTGTCACAGTTGCTCCCGCGCGCTGGCCCATCCGTGCTGTGCTAGGGGGTATTGGTCGTCTCGCAGCTCAGTTCACAGTAGCTGAAAGGGACAGTGTGTGATGTTCTGATTTCTCCCCACCGTTTTAAAAGGGAGGCTCTGGCCATTGCTCCTTGGGTAAAATGCAGAGTGACTGCTTTTTAAGATGGGACTGTCAGTGTTGGGGACACTCCTTAACTACCAAAATGGAATCCCCTGCAATTCCTCAAGCTGTGTTGATTTGGCACAGAAAATGTAAGAGGAACTGGAACTAAGTTTGAGTGAAAAAACACACGGGTACCTCCGAATTTTCCATCGAAACAGTTGATTTGTGTTGTCTCTTGGAATGATAAAGGGCATACTGTTGCTTCCTAACTGATGTCATTTGAGAGATCTACCTCTGTACGATGAAATGATTAATTTTGAGACTTTGCTCATATGTGCAGTAAACGCTTTAGTTCCCTAAGACCTTCCTTTCCTCCATCTCATACCCCATTAAGCCCGCTTCAGCTTATCTCCTGAATTTCTTCTGAATCTGTCAACTCTTCCTCAACATCCTAATACTGAACTTTCCTGTCTGTTGCAATTAGGTCCTAACTAGTGTCCATATATCTTGTTTCCTTCCAATCCATTCTTCACACAAGAAACCTTAAAAGCAAGTTGGAACATTCCCCATAAACATAGCTCAAAACCATTGTTTTGAGAATAGAAAACAAACCGTTGGCCTTTAAGACTTTGCGTGGTCTAGAATCCTCTCTTCTGCTCTGGCCCAATCTTGCGCCACTTTTGCCCTCACTTTCTATGCTTCAGCTACACTGAATTAACCTTAGTTCTAACTCATCTTACAGAAGTCAGTTCAGATATTATTTTTCACTGTGATTCCTAGCATTAAGGAATTTTATCATCAGGTTTTGTATGAGGACTGAAAATAAACTGTGAAGTGGAAGAATTGAGTTTGAGCTATTTCAGTCAGCACGCATGTATTAATGATACCTTAGTAGTCAACAGCAGGCTAGGTTTTATCAGGGATACAGAAGTTCTGGCCATCTCTGGTTTTAGATATCCCTTATTTGTTGAGACCTTTGCATTGTTTCGTTGCCTTTTATCTGTTTTCAAGATGGGAAAACAGGAACAAGGGAAGTATAGGTTATTATTAGGTGGGGTTGAATAAGTGGAGCAGCAAAATGCAAAGCATAAAGAAGAACGACCTACTATATAGGGATATGATTTCCATTTTCAATGCGCATCCATCCTATGCAGGGAGACAGCCTAACATAAAATTTTCCTAACAAAAAATATATTAACAGGTGGAAGGACTATCTCCCAGTTGAACAGCGGATGCCTGGGACTCGTTTCATTGCTTTCAAAGTTCCTTTCAGAAAGGTAAGCAAAAGTTAATACCGTATTCTTCCAGAAATCTGAATTCACCATACAGAGCCCTGGCTCTCAACCCCGTCGTACTCCATTTTCCCTTTTTATAGCAAATACTTTTTAATACCTCCTTTACTCTCCAGAAATGGAATTCATAGATAAATACAACCTAATTCTGTACTTAATTGAAAAAAACAACAACAATGTAATGCCCTAACTATAAATAAAGAATAAAGTAATTTATAAGAAAGTAATATGTATCTCAGTATGTAAATGTTTAGAGATGACCATACTAGAAATATAGAAATAGTCAGTTACTTGTACCATGAATGCAATAAACTATGGACTTTGAATGATAATGATATGTCAGTGTTGGTTCATGAATTCTAACAAATGAAGCACACTGGTATGGAATGTTGATAATGGGGAAGGCTGTGAGGGATGAAGGAGAGCGGGTATAAGTGGGAACTGTGTACTTTTTGCTCACTTTTGCTGTGAATCTCAAACTGCTCTAAAACTAGTCTACTAATTTTTAAAAAAGTGTGTGTTGCTGACACTTGAATAACCAAAGAGATCAATGGAACAGGGTACATGTATAAGCCAAATACATGAAAGAATATTTAGCAGTGAAAGCCATCCTTCCTATATGTAGATATTCAAGAAGTATTTATTTCTGTGTCTATTTTCAGGCACTCTGATTGGAGCCAGCAATACAGTGGTAGGCACAATTGATGTGGTACCTGCCTTCTGGGAGTTTACAGTCTGGTTAGGAGACCAAAATGAAACAAAGAAACATAGAAATAAATATAGAGAAGTGAACTTATTTTCTTCCGTCTAATCTCTCTGGAAGAAAGGATTGTAATATCGCTTGTAAATTCCAGAGGAGGAGACTTTACTTTGAATCTCATATGTTAGCATCACAGGGTTTGAATAAATGGATAATACAGTAAAGGATTTTAAACACATGTGCTTTCTTATTTTATTCTTTCTGATTCTTTTCTGAGTTTTGAAAAGAATCTTGCTCCAGAAGAATAATTTTCCCCCTTCGATCTTTTTTAACAACTGCAAGAGCAGAATGAAGAACTTGGGCTGATTATTGACTTAACATATACTCGCCGCTATTATAAGCCAGAGGTAAATGGAACCCATAATTGAAAATGACCTTCTTTCTGATACTGGAATAATTCATAGTAATTCAGTAGTTATCATCTTATGCTAAGTTGAATCCTGGCCCTCTTTCATGGGTTCAAAAAGGGAAGCTAGTGGCTTCCTTAAATACACATTTGTAATTGCTGTTTCAAAATGAGATTAAAGATATGAATTGAACTATATATTTGGCAGTAGGCTCTAGATATGCTTAAGAAATTCTATAAGCTTCCATGTTCTATATTTTGAAAATGAAGTAAACTTTTACTAAGAATAGTAGTATCCTAAAAAGAAAGAAAGGTATGTCCGTTATGTCTTTAGCACTTATTTTAAGCAGTTGCCTGAGCATGTTTAAGCATCACGGTAAAAGACAATTGTTCTCTAAGTTTTATGCTTTCTTTCCCTAATATCTTCTGATATAATACAGAAACCCATGTATCCTCTTGGCCCATGTAGGACATACCAGTGCAAAAGAATTATCCTTCTTCTGACCTGTTCCATGGCCTTGGGAGACAGTAACACCTAATGTTCGTTAAGATTTGTATAGCAGTTTGCCATTTAGAAAGTTCTTTCATATGCATTGACTTAGTTAATCTTCACAGCAATCCTTTGCTGTTGAAGTGGAAGTAGTACTGATATCTCCTACTGAGTGCTTACTCTGCACTAAGCTCAGAGGAATTTTACAGGCGATGAAACTGACTCTCGGAAAAGGAAGAACTGAAATTTCAGCTCAGTTATTTCTCTTTTTTTTATTGTGGTAAAATATAGATAAATTATATTTATTTCAACCATTTATAAATATGCAGTTCAATGGCATTAAATACAGTCACAGTGTTGTGTAACCATCACCACTGTCTATAACCAAAACTTTTTCATCATGCTCAACAAAAACTCTGTAACCATCAAACAGTAACAACCCCATTTTCCCTCCCACCAGCCCTTAGAAACCTCTATTCTATTTTCTGTCTCTATGAATTTGCCTATTCTAGGTACCTCGTGTAAGTGGAATCTACAACATTTTTCTTTCTATGTCTGGCTTATTTCACGAAACATCGTGTTTTCAAGGTTCATCCATGTTATAGCATGTAACAAAAGGCCATTCCTTTTTTGGCTTGATAAATCCCATTGTGTGTATATACCATGGTTTGTTATTCAACGGTTGATTGACACTTGGGTTTTTTCCACCTTGTAGGTATTGTGAATCATGCTGCTATGATCATTCGTGTACAAATATGTGTTCAAATCCCTGCTTTCAGTTCTGTTAGATGTGCAGCGTAGGTAGTAGCAGAGTTGTTGGATCATACGGTAGCTCTACGCTTAACCTTTGAGAAAGTGCCAAACTGTTTCCTACAGTGTCGTCTTGTTTTTAAACAATTATCACAAATTTTAAGCATATACAAAAGTATTAAAATACTGTAAGTGTTCCTTGTATACCCATGAAATCAAACAGCTTTATTATTTACCAACTGATGGCTGTCATGTTTTTTTTTTTTTTTTTTTTTTTGCGGTACGCGGGCCTCTCACTGCCGTGGCCTCTCCCGTTGCGGGGCACAGGCTCCGGACGCGCAGGCTCAGCGGCCATGGCTCACGGGCCCAGCCGCCCCACAGCACGCGGGATCCTCCCAGACCGGGGCACAAACCTGTGTCCCCTGCATCGGCAGGCGGACCCTCAACCATTGCGCCACCAGGGAAGCCCTGGCTGTCATGTTTTATCTGTACCCCCACCTGTTTCACCCCATTCCATATTATCTTGAAGCAGCTTGGAAATAATATATATTTTCACGGTTTTGCCTTGTAGGACTTACAAGAAATTATTCCTTATTTAAAAATTTGTACAATTGGGCATCTGGTGCCAGATGATCACACCATTTTTAAATTCCAATGTGCTGTTAAAGGGTTTCTGAAAGAAAATAAAGATAATGGTGAGTTGTTTTTGTTTTTTTTTTTCCTTTACCTGAACTTTGGTATGCATTTTGAGTGGGATTGGGGATTTTTAACATTTTTAATAGTTCTGATATTAGGCCTGTTGTGTTTGGTAACATTAAGGTGGAAATGTCAGATGGTGCTAATAGAGTACGGTGTTTTTCCTGTTTATGGTCACAACAATTTAGTTTAGTTTGGAAAGTGATTTTTGTGAGAAATCTCAACTGAACTAGCTTACTTACCTCTTTTTTAAAAATTTGAATGGAAAATACATAAAAACATAAAAATGTTCTTTTGTCCTATTTATTGGTTGAGAGGTGGAAGAAAAGGTTAAGACTCTCAGGGTCTTAGCGTATATAAAAGAGAAAACAAAAAGCAAAGGTTCGGAGTGAGACCGATCCGTAGTAGCAAAACAAAACAGAGTGGACAAGAAGAGCGGCTTCCTCATCGTATATGTGTTTAAGATATTTTTGCCGCTTTTACACTTCGGGTGCAAGTGAGGAAGAACACTCCCACCTCTTATTCTTATCTTCAGACAGGAAGAACTTAAAAGGCTGGTGTTTTCTTGTTTCCACTTTAAGATCTACTCTGTTAATAGTAGGTCTTAATAGCGTGTGAATTTAAGGTTCCACTTGCCTATTTCTAGCATCTAGCTATCAGAAAGAACATCGTATTTGTCATGTTTTAAGACTGAGGAATCTTTTGTCTTTGGAACACCACTGACGCCCATGAGAAAGTGTTCATTTTGTCCTCTTTCTAAATTTAGCCTGAGGAGTGTGCACTTTATTAAATAAATCTAACAGACAGTAAATATTCCGTGTATATATAAAAGGATGCACATATATACATAAAACAGGGAGTAGGGGAGAAGGAATAGAGATGGAGGTGGGAAGATAGGGGATAGGAGGTGAGAGAGAGAGGGAGAGACTGGAATTTCAAGATAACTTTTCATTCTGTAACCTGGTTGCTTAATGCAGGTACTAGCTCTTAAATATCTTAAGCCCTATTCACAGATCTTCCCTTTACTTTAGCTTTAAAATTTGAGAAACTTGACCTTGCGTGTGATAACCAGGGTGTCTAGAAAGGAGGCAAATTATCTGATTCGTGTAAACGTAGTCACAGAAATATTACCTCTTAAGATGTTAGGGTGCAGCTGCCGGCCTACTCACTTCCTCCAGGCTCCTTTGTGTGTGTTCTGTCTGTTCCGCGTGGGCTAGTAGATCCTTACAAGTGCATGAAAACACGTTTGTAAAACCTTGATTGTTCACATGTTATACCAAGTGTAGTTCATTGCATATGCTGACTCCTCTGTGGGTCTTCTGCATGCAGTGGGCTAACTTCACCATGCTCTCTGCCATTGCAGTCTCACAACCTTAGTTATGATCCATGGGTGACTTCCTGTGGTATAAGCCCCTCCCACAGGTGCCAGGCTCACTGATAATGAGGAGACTATACTATCCACTCCCTAGAATTGGTAGAGACTCAGAAAATAAATTGTTTCAGTAAACACTGAGAGCCTTATAGGTTTGTTGTTAGGGCACGGGGATACAGAGGTGAGTAGAAGTCTTTGTTCAGTAGCAACTTACAGTTATCTAGGAAGAGAAACATGTAGTGACTATAAGTGGGTTAATTATAATAGAAGAATCAAATGCAGCAGGAATATAGAGGAGAAATTGAGGAAGGCCTGACTGAGGAGACAGCATTTGAGCTGGGCTTTGGGGAAGAGGATTTTTCCGGAATGAGGAAAGGACAGCCCAGGTATTGGGGACAGGTACAGAAGGCACAGGGCTTGAACTTGTGCTCTGGAGGGGCAGCCTCTGGTGTGACTAGAGGGTAGTGTGAAAGGGCAGAGAATTCATACATTCATTTTCAGCAAATATTTGTATAATACCTTCTACATTGAAGGCACTCTTCTAGGAAGTAGGAACAGAACAAAGTTCTTGCCCTTACGTAATTTACATTCTAGTGGGAGAGAGAGATGAATAAATAAGTAAATATATGGAGTGTCAATTGGTGGTAAATGCTTTGGAGAATAACAAAAGAAGATGAAGAGGTGAGGGAATGTGGTAGGTGATCAGGGAAGTCCCCTCTATTAAGATGTCGATTGAGCAGAGCCTTGGAGTGAGAAACAAGCCATTGGATATCTGGGAGAGAGGAGATGGTGTGGGATCGTGTGTTCTAGGAGAGTGCAGATGAGGTGGGAGGGTGTGTTCTGAAGCAGAAGGAATAGTAGGTGCAAAGTCCCTGAGGCATGACTGTGCTTGGCATGTTTGAGGAATAGTAAGGAGGCCAGTGTGGCTGGACAGGGGTAAGTGAGTGAGGGCAGAGCAGTAGAGAATAAGATCAGGGAGGGTGGCAGGGGAAAGGAGGGAGGTGGATGATGTAGGTCCTTGTAAGTCATAGTTTGAACTTATAATTCAGTTGGAGAGACAGAGTGATATTTGTTTATATAGAGTGCTCAATGCTATGCTAAAACCTTGGGCTTTGTTCTATTCTAAGTGAAGATGTTTAAGCAACAGAGCAATCCAGCCAAGTTTATATTTTAGAAAGATAACATCTTCCATGTGGAGGAGCAGTTGAAATAGACTTTTTTTTTTTTTTTTTTTTTGTGGCACACAGGCCTCTCATTGCCGTGTTCTCTCCTGGATGCACAGGCTCAGCGGCCATGGCTCATGGCCCCAGCCGCTCGGTGGCATGTGGGATCCTCCTGGACCGGGGCATGAACCCGTGTCACCTGCATCGACAGGGAGACTCTCAACCACTGCGCCACCAGGGAAGCCTGGATCAGTTGAAATAGAAGAGATCGTTAGAATTGTAGGGCGGCAGTAATCCAGGCAGGAGATGACGAATGCCAGACACCACCTAGTCACAGACATACCTTTTGCAGAGATCAGCTACATGTTGTTGTTTTTTATTTACTTTCTCATATAATTTTTCCAGTGCTGGACCACGAAATACTGTGGCATACTTGGAAAAATCTGAGACTCGATTCTAGTCTTTTTTCTGTTTGCGTGCTGTGCAGCTTGGGCTTACGTCTCAAGCCTTACTTTTTCATTGTGAAATAAGCACGGTGTTACTTACCCAAGAACTGCACAGGCACATAGACCCATGACGTGTGAGCAGCAGTGAATGAGAGAAGGAATGGAAGTGCTTTGGGACCCCAAGAGCCCTTCAGAAACTGTTTGTTCTTTTTAATATGGAGCATTAAAAGTGAAGGCATTCCATTTGTTTCACTCAAAATCAAATTGTATTCTTCTGATAGCCTGGTTTTTTTCCACTCCCTTTTTCTATAGTCAAATCAGTTCCTTTGGGGCATTCTGCAGTCCACACTATTGCATCTGATTGGAGGCTATGCAAAATTTCCCAGAGACAATGAATTTTGACTTTATAGTACGTTCCTGCAAAAACACTCTTTTCTTCAGAGTTTTTCCTTTTCAGGATAGTGGTAGTGTTGTGGTTACTAATAAAGGCTACTCTTCAGAAAATTGTATAACTTGTTTTTAGTGTATCTACTTTGCTTACTTAATTCCATATTCACTGTTTTATAGACAGGCTTATTGGTGTCCACTGTACCCATGGTTTAAACAGGACTGGCTACCACATCTGCAGGTGAGTTGTCAACCCCAGGAGGCAGACCTTGTTTAAATTGTACTGTATACAGTAGTAATGTAAGCTAATGTAAGCTGAATGCAAAACATGCAGTCAGAGAAATGTATGAAGTGGAAGGCAATTTTGCCCCCTACTCAGAGGTTAAGACCAGTAATTATTTAGCACATACTTTTTCAGACGTTAAAAATGCAGATATAAGCATATACAATTGTCCCTTGGTATCTGCAGGGGATTGGTTTTAGGACTCCCCATGGATACCAAAATCCTCGGATGCTCAAGTCCTGTATGTAAAATGGTGTAGTATAGTCGCCCTTCCATATCTGCAGGATATGGAACCGTTGGATATACAGAACTGACTGTACATGTGATTTAATGGTATAGTATTTAGACATTCTGGTTTATAATTTACTATATGGTACACATCTTCCTATGAAAATATTTGGAGACCTCAATCTTATTTATTTATTATTATTTTTTCCTCCAAATTTGCTTTATGTAGTTGGATATAAATTAATGAACAAAAACTTAAGCAAGATACATGTAAGAGTTTAATAGAACCTGATATTCTAATTCTTTCAGTTTTTTTCAAACTCATCATGGGGCTTATAAGAAAATTAACCAACATGGATACTACTACAGTTGAATGTCAAATTCTTAAGTGCTTATGACATACTAAATTCTTCCCTAATGCACTTATGAAGAACCCTTCAAGAGACTTGTGTGTTGTATGTAGAAAAGTGTTGATTTATTTGAGGAGTGAAGCATTCAGCTTTGGTGGATATATCCTTGTTAGGCTGAGGCAATCATTATCATATCCCTCTTTGCCATGAATTGTCTTATGAATGGTCATATCAGTCTGTTTTGGCAAATAAGTAAACAGGAGAAGGCTGTTATTGTGCTTACGAGAATGATATTTTTCTCTGAAAAAAGATAAATATGCATTAGGAAAATGACCATTTGGACTCTTTTTCTGCTTCCTCCTTGTTTTGTGAGAATATGATACTTGGTTTTACAGCAGCCATTTTGTGACCATGAGATGATTATATGCCAATAACGACAAATGGTAGATTAGAAAGAACCAGCAAAGACAGAAAACAGCAACATCAATAGTAACAACAATCACAGTAAAAGAACAATGGGACCTTAACTTGTGGAGTTCCTATAAAGTAAAAAATAAATGCTCTATGTTTATTCTAAAAAAAAAAAAATAACTATGCAAACAAGCTTAAAACTACTTTTTTTTGTGCCAGTGTTATAAAATGTAGCTTTAAATAAAACCTTGACCCAAATGCCAGCAACTTCAGAAAAGAATTTGGGTAGGGGGAAGAAGAAAGTTATCTCACTTAGGAAAAACAACCACTATCTTTATCCTAATCTTCGACACACAATTGAAACATATATAGCTGCTGTAACACTTTACACAAATCCTATGTACTGGAGCAATAACAAGATCTAAATACAATTATATTTTTAAACACTGGGTGAAGGCTTTACATAAAAATAGCATCTTACTTTTCCCCCTAAATTTCTAAAATATCACATACTTTTCCCCAACATCTGCAGCCGTTCAGGAATTATTAGGAAACTTTCATGCATGATCTTAATTCCTAATCCCCGGCTCTTTGGGCTCAACGACAGAAGATCAAAACCACCAAAAATGATGGTTCTCTTGAAGTCAGGTGAGAGACACTGGCTCAGTTAGTCTCGTAGGACAAAAGCAGTGCTGCATCAACTGTCTCCTTGCAGGAGGGGCACGTGAAGGATCTCATCAGCCAGTCATCTGTACAGCCCAGGTGACCTGCATACACAGCAGAAATCAAATTGCGTTGTCATAAACAAAGTCCATCACACAGATCACACACTCCTGGATCTTTTTTTTTAATATTTGTTTTATTTTATTTATTGATTTTTTTTTTTTTTGGTTGCGCCGGGTCTTAGTTGCAGCCGGTGGGCTCCTTAGTTGTGGCATGCAAACTCTTAGTTGCAGCATGCGTGTGGGATCTAGTTCCATGACCAGGGAACGAACCCGGGCCCCCTGCATTGAGAGTGCGGAGTCTTTAGCCAGTGCACCACCAGGGAAGTCCCCCGGATCCTTTTTTCTGATCCATTTCTTCCAGGATCATAAACTCATTTAGGCTGATGCTGTATGAGGCCTGTTCTTTTGAGCTATCCTATTCTGTTCCTCTCAGCTGAGTTGCTAGGCGAGTCTGGCTAGGTGTTGTATGATAGACCAAAACTGGAACTTGATCCAGATATGGCAGCAGTGGCTCCTGATCCAGCTCTGTCCCCTTGCCGAAGCTAGCCCAGTCGGACTGAGACTTGTGAGGCAGGGAGATGTCATCCGAAGTTGGGTACTTAAGGCACTTCCCCATCTTCTGGGGCTTGAGTGTGTGATCTGTGTGCTGTTTTGACAGTCTTCCAACCTCATTCTTTTTTTTAAATGATTATTAATTAATTTTAAAAATTTATTTTTGAATTTAAAAAATTTATTTTTTATACAGCAGGTTCTTATTAGTTATCTATTTTATACATATTAGTGTATATATGTCAATCCCAATCTTCCAATTGATCTCACCACTACCGACCCCCGCCCTGCCCCACTCTCCCCTCTTGGTGTCCATACGTTTGTTCTCTACATCTGTGTCTCTATTTCTGCCTTGCAAACCAGTTCACCTGTACCATTTTTCTAGATTCCATATATATACATTAATATACAATATTTGTTTTTCTCTTTCTGACTTACTTCACTCTGGATGACAGTCTCTAGGTCTATCCACGTCTCTACAAATGACCCAATTTTGTTCTTTTTTATCTCTGAGTAATATTCCATTGTATATACTTACCACATCTTCTTTGTCCATTCATCTGTCAATGGGCATTTGGGTTGCTTCCATGACCTAGCTATTGTGAATACTGCTGCAGTGAACATTGGGGTGCATATGTCTTTTTGAATTATGCTTTTCTCTGGGTATATGCCCAGTAGTGGGATTGCTGGGTCATATGGTAATTCTATTTTTATTTTTTAAGGAACCTCCATACTGTTCTCCATAGTGGCTGTATCAGTTGACATTCCCACCAGCAGTGCAAGAGGGTTCCCTTTCCTCACACCCTATCCAGCATTTGTTGTTTGAAGATTTTCTGATGATGCCTACTCTAACCTGTCTGAGGTGATGCCTCATTGTAGTTTTGATTTGCATTTCTTTAATAATTAGTGATGTTGAGCAGATTTTCATGTGCCTCTTGGCCATCTGTATGTCCTTTTGGAGAAATGTCTATTTAGGTCTTCTGCCCATTTTTTGATTGGGTTTTTGTTTTTTTAATAGTGAGCTGCATGACCTATTTATATATTTTGGAGATTAATCCTTTGTTGATTCGTTTGCAAACATTTTCTCCCATTCTGAGGGTTGTGTTTTCGTCTTGTTTATACTTTCCTTTGCTGTGCAAAAGCTTTTAAGTTTCATTAGGTCCCATTTGCTTATTTTTTTTAAGGCTGCATTGTACCTTTGCTCACTGATGAACATATAAAAGTCAGAAGTTTTTGATATTATAAAACATCAAAGTAATGGACATTCCTGTGTGAACATCTTTGAATATATATGCTTTGTCTCAGTTAACTTCACTCAGAATGGGACTTCTGCATCAAAGAGTTTATGTCCTTTTGCTTTTTGTGGATGTTGCTACTCTGTACCAATTTATGGTTGTTCATGCAGGAAATACTTATTGAGCATCTGTTATATTTAAGCACTGTGCTGGGTGCTAGTAAAAAGACTTGTGAAATTTCGTGAGTGAAGAGACTTGACCTCCCCTTTGTGAATTCTAACAGTCCAGAGAGGGAATAGATATTCAAGAATCATACTGTGCACGTAGAATTACAACTCTGACAAGTGCCAAGGAGAGGGACATGGTACCATGAGAGCATATTTTAGGGAGGATTTGATCTCATCATGGAGATTAGAGAAGGTTTATTTAGGGATGTTTCAGCTGATATCTGAAGGTTGCGTAGGTATTAAGCAGATACGGACGTTGGGGACAGATTTCTGAGCATAAGGAATAGCAGAAGACCCTATAAGAGGAAAGCATATGCTGTGTTGGAGGAACTGGCCAGGAAGGTGGGGCTGTTGGGGGAGCATGTGATTATAATGGAGCTACAAGTGTGGGCAGGAGCTCGATCGTGCAGGCTTATGTTTAAGGTTTCAGAATTTAAGAGTAATAGAAAACCATTGAACTTTTTTTGTTGAAGGTGAGTGTGTGGAACATACCCAATTGCATTTTCAACCTATCATTTTGCTACCGAGTGGAGAATACACTGCAGGGAGAAAGAGTGGAAGCGAGGAAAGAAGTTAGGAGACTTTTGTAGAAATTGGGCATAATGGTGGCTTGGACCAGGGTATGGTGGTCATTTTGGTGGAAAGATGTGGACAGATTCTAGAGGTATGTAGGCAGTATCATTGTTAGCACTGGTGGTGGGTTGAGGATGAGGGTGAGGGAGAAATAGCTGTCAGTGATGGTGATTCCTAAGTTTCTGGCTCCTATGGTTGGTTAGATAGGGTTTTTAGATATGATGTTAATATTTATCCTAATTTGTCTTTTGTTATTTGTTGGTTCTTGATGAATACTGTGTCATATTAAGTCTCCTGTTTTGAGTGTACAAAGCGTTTTGACCAAAACTGACTGTTGTATGTTATCAGATAACTTTTTTTGTTTTTTTGTTTTTTTTGGTACGCGGGCCTCTCACTGTTGTGGCCTCTCCCGTTGCGGAGCACAGGCTCTGGACGCGCAGGCCTAGCAGCCATGGCTCACGGGCCCAGCCGCACGAACCCGCGTTCCCTGCATTGGCAGGCAGACTCTCAACCACTGTGCCACCAGGGAAGCCCTCAGATAACTTTTTAACATCTGCCAGTTTGGTCCTGTATTTTATTCTCTTTCATTTATTAATTAAATTGTTGTATTAGTGTAATATTAATACAACTATATTAATATTAATAGAAAATATTAATAGATTTTCTAAAGTTGCGTTATCCTTGCATCCTTGGAATAAAGCCTTTTTGTATTCATGGTATATATCATTCTTTAATAATTATTGATTAGATGTGCTGATATTTTCTTAGGATTTTTATATCTATATTTGTAAAGCAAAATTGGACCTTTTTTGCAAAACCTTGATTTTCTTTTCTTTTTATTTACAAATGACTCGAATTTTGTTGTTTTTTAGATATTTGGTTGATGTAGAAGGCATGTGGGCAGATGATGCAATTGGATATAAGTATAAGGGTTGTCACTACTTTTCCCTTTTTATAAAATTTGAAGGTAGAAGTGTAGGGGAATTTCTCAAATTTTGGACAAAGAGAAAAGTTTGTAATTCATTTGTTCTGACATAAGATAACCTTTTACCAAAAGTTTATAAAGGGATGTATCTGGAAATAGTGAGATATAACAGCCTAAATAATTAGTCAGTGGATTTCAGCATTTTCTTTTCTTATTAAAATTTATTTTATTTATTTATTTATTTTTGGCTGCGTTGGGTCTTCGTTGCTGTGCGGGCTTTCTCTAGTTGCCACGAGCAGGGGCTACTCTTTGTTGTGGTACGTGGGCCTCTCATTGCGGTGGCTTCTCGTTGTGTAGCTCGGGCTCTAGGCACTCAGGCTTCAGTAGTTGTGGCACTCGGGCTTCAGTAGTTGTGGCGCATGGGCTTAGTTGCTCCGCGGCATGTGAGATCTTCCCAGACCAGGGCTCGAACCCCTGTCCCCTGCATTGGCAGGCGGATTCTTAACCACTGCGCCACCAGGGAAGTCCCTGGATTTCAGCTTTGATCTGCTTTCTCTGGGAAAGATTTGCTTTTTGTACAGTTATTTCTAACAGTTCATCCGCTCCTCAGTATTTAATACGAGCCGTGGACATTGCTTAGAAAGACAAAACTACATTGAAAACCTTCAGAATGGTCTCATCAGAAAGTAAGTTGCATTTTATATATGAAATTTGTGGTTAGGAAGATCTATTTTTATATCATTTAAGTTGCACATGTCCCTTCTTCTTGTATCTTGTTTACTTGCTCGAGGAAACCTAAACAAATAGGAATGGGGGGAGGATGGAATTGTTATTTTCACGGGCCAAAATATAGTCACTAAATTGGCTACTGAATTTGCAGACCAGTAACATTTTGTGGAAACATTCTGTTTGAGGAATCGGGATTCCAGTGTATCCAGAACAAGTGGTTTTGATGACTCAACACATATGATGGAACCAGTTCACACAGCTAATAAGTCTGTTAACCAAGGAAGTATAACCTACATTAGACCCCAGGTTACCCAACATCTTGGCATTTCCATACCCAGACCCAAGATTTGCAGAAAGGTATCTCTGCTTTCCCTTTTTCTAGAATTGAAATAGAAATTAATATTATAAATTAGTGCAAACACATTATAATGTGAAGAATTGGTGTTTTCTTGCTGATCAGTGTCAACCAGGGGGTATTGTTTGTTCCATATTTTGCATTTAGAGATGGAAAGTCAAGTATAGGAGGGGGAATAGGTGAGTTTTTAGAGGCAGTTGGGAAGAGGACTTAGAAATTTTCATTGATTCTTAAACTTAGTTTAAGCCAATAATTTGATGTGAGTGTCAGAAACGATCTTACATTCTTAGGCTGCATTAATAGTGGTATAGTTTTCAGAATAAGGAAGTTTGCTTTATTTAAAGAGTAAATACAAATTATAGGGAAAATGGTAAAATTCCTGTAGAGAAACTTGCAAAGGGGTTGAACACATAAATCACAAACATACTTTTACTTGGGAAACAGGAAAAACCTCAGTACAATTAAAACAACAACAGTTTTTGCCATTTTGCTATTAATTTAGCAAGTTTTTGACAAGGTAGTCCAGTGTATTGATTGTAAGGCTGGACCTGGGTTTGCATCCTGGCTCTGCTGTTCACCCTGTATGTGATCTTGAGTAAGATCTCTAAATTCCTATTTTCTTATCAATTAGATGGAAATTTTACTAATATTATAAATAAATTTTTAATAACGTATACCTTGGGATTGTTGTTGATTATTACATGAGTTAATAAAGTACTTTAGCACATTGTAAACTTTCAGTTTTCAAAAAGATGTTTTGACATTTTTAGCAGATGTAAACATTTCAAAAAGGTGTTGCTTGTGTTGCCAGGGGCACTGAAAAATGGTATAGCCCTTTCGAAACATAACTGTAATAGCCATAAAAATGTTCATACCTGGTAATTCCACCATGAGGTTACAGAAATACTTTAAAATATGGAAAAATCTACATGCATTTAATCACTCAGCACATTCCTCAAACTCCCTACTATGTATCAGACTCTGGACTAGGTACTTAGGATACAGTTGTATATGTTCTGGGATGTTAATCCCAGCATTATTTACAGTAGTGGAAAAATTGGTAGCAGCTTGCATTTCTAACGATGAAGAATAGCTAAGTAAATTATTATATCCATACTATGATATTTTATAAAGCCATTGAAAGTGATAGCTTACTTATGATAAGTGAAAATAATAGGTTATGATTCAGCAGTCAAAAAAAGATGCTAGGGGGAAAAAGACCAAAAGTAATATTAACCAGTTTACTTAGATTAAGTGGGATTGAGGGGTTTTGGGAGGTGTTTACTTTTCTCAGATCTCCAAATTTTCTTTTGTATGATTATATTAGATTTACTGATGTTACTTTTGAAACAATTAAATTCTAATTTTCCAAATTTGCTGCATGTGCCATGGTTAGAATTTCTACATTTTATAATTAATTTATATATGTGTTTACTTATAAAGTGAAAGTAGGTTCCTGGTTTCAAAAATAAATAGCTTACTCTGTTTCATGTCAACCCTGCCACACTTGGAGAGAATGTATCTGATTAGAATAGTATGGGCATTTATAGGGAAAGATGGAAAGGCTTCTGGGAACCTACAGTGTGCCAAGGCATTGTGGTGGGTAATTGAAGTATATCATCTTAATTTACCTTCAAAACAATCCATGAAGATGGAAGGTATTATTAGCTCTATTTTATAAAGAACTACGAAATCCAAAGATTAAGCAATTTTTTTTTTTTTTTTTTTTTTGCGGTACGCGGGCCTCTCACTGTCGTGGCCTCTCCCGTTGCGGAGCACAGGCTCTGGACGCCCAGGCTCAGCGGCCCTCACGGGCCCAGCTGCTCCGCGGCATGTGGGATCTTCCCGGACCGGGGCATGAACACGTGTCCCCTGCATCGGCAGGCAGACTCTCAATAACTGTGCCACCAGGGAAGCCCAGATTAAGCAATTTTATCTGCTAAAATCACACAGGTAGAAAACAGTAGAACCAGAGTATCTATGTATAATTTTATAAAGCTTATTATATATATTTATTAAAACTAATAATGGTGTATTACTTTTGTTTTGTTTAAGAAAATTTTCACAGAATCAAAACATTTACCAGAGAGGCCATATTCCTACTCCTGGTCCCCACGGAGAGGACTGTTTACAAAGGAGGTACTCTTGGAATGTAGAGCCAAACGCCAGTCAAGCAGCGCAGAACAGAAGGTGGTATCCTGGCAATTACTACAGACTACCCTATCCGACCTATTATAGATGGACCAAGTGACACAAGCCTACCCTGGAAATCTACCTGGAGACAGAACAGGACTGAAGACAGCCAGAGTGACGTTTTATAAAATCAGGTCAAATGAGGTTTATAATCTATTTTAGTGCTCCCTTATGTGTTTGAGCTTAAGGAAAAATTATATTGATACTTAGCTCCGCTGATAAATTTGCAGTATTTACAACAGTGAAGGAAATAGTCTGTCATTCTAATCTTAAATTTTTTTTAAAGGAGGATGATATTTTAGAACTGATAAAAAGTAATAAAGAACATCGCTTGTAAATTATTTTTAAAAATTCTATCTTCCTTTTCTGGTGTATTTCCTTCTGACTAGACTTGTAATGTTAGAGTGTGTGTGTGTGTGTGTGTGTGTGTGTGTGTGTGTGTGTGCAGAAAATTTTTAGTGTTTCTGTCATGTTCTGTTATTACCCAATCATCAGGATATCTCCCCCCCCACAAACTGTTCAAGATTTCTATCAAAATCTACCTAGGAGATAATCTCTTTAGAACCTAATCACTATTTGTAATTAGTTGTAGTATTTTTGTGATTAGACATTTCTTTCTTTCTTTTGGCAGTCTACTGTTGGATTTGACCAATTTCCTTTCACTGAATTGTCAGATACACCATCTAACACTGGATAAACTTTTAGGGATTTATTGTCAATTGAGCAGGAGAGACCAATTGGTAAATGTAAATGCTAAATGCTGGGTAATTTACCTGACGAGGTAATTGTTATCAACTGGGTGGAGCTACTTAGAAAACTTGAAAACTTTTATAGACTATAAAGGTTGCTTGATGAACAGAATAGGGTGCGACATTTAAAGCCTGGAATATCTGGGGAGACTTGCATGGCTCCTTGTGTTGTTGCTTCTTTGTTGACCATAACCTGCTGCAGTCTTTCTCCACTTGCCTCTCACAGTGGAATGGTGCCTTGACCTTGACTTTTTCTAAGTTGCCCCTTCTGCTAGTTTACCTCTGGAACACACAGCTGGATCATGTGGGAGGTGTTAATTATTTTTAGTTGCAGAGGAAGCCAGAAACCTTTGTTGGCTCAAGAAAGGGTCTAACTGCCATGACATCATAAGCCTTGGTAAATATTTTATGAATACTTGGGCAAATTGGCTGCATTGTTTAAGTCTCTGATTTTGAAGTGTTGTATCATGGGAAGTCTGAAATTGCATATGATAGTTGTTTTCTCTGTTCTGTGTTATAAATGAACATCATGTGGAACCTGACCCTAAGGATGTGCTCTAACTCAGCTACTCCCTGGTCTGTGTCTGATGAGCTCAGTCAGGTTACTACCTTTCATCTAGGTGGTGGCTCAGAAAGTTTTTTTCTGCCCGCCACATTTAACAGAGATACAAGAGTTCTTCTTGCCAGAAGGCTGCTCTGTGGAATTGTTCCTTCGCATACATCGTGAACTCTCCCTTGGAAAGATACTGGCGCAGCAAGACAACTGGTGAGGCAAAAAAAGAACCACCAGGGACAGGCATGTGAGTCCAGCTAATCTAATAGTTTTAAGGAGTTCCTGGGCAAGCAGTTTCTGAGGAGGACATTGCCAGCAGAAGTGTCATCTTAAGCACTGCCACCTTTGAAAACCTTCTTTGATCGTGTTGTCCTCTCTGTCCCCATCCCATTTCGTTTATCAACACAGCTTATTGAAAACCAGTCTCCTTTTGCTATCTCGTGTCTCATTTATTCTTCAACACACTGTTTTCCCGGCTTCTGCTCACATCACACCACTGAAAGTCCTCTGGCTAAAGGGACAAGCAACTTTTTTTAAAGGTCTTTAGTGGTCTTTTTAAGCTTTTAATTTTTTTATTTTTATTAAAAATACACAGGTAAGTATTGGGTTGGCCAAAAAGTTCATTTGGGGTTTTCTGCAGGATGTTACGGAAAACCCAAACGAACTTTTTGGCCAACCCAATAGTTTAAAATTCAAATAGTTCTACTGAGATGTCTATGAAAGAGAGTAGTCTTCCCATCAGCACCCCTGCCCTATCCCCTGATTGTCACTCCCCAAGGGCAATCACTTTAAGTATTTTTGCATTATTTTCTACCCAAAGGCAACCACTTTAAGTATTTTAGCATTATTTTCTAATATTTGCCTCCATATTTAAATACTAGACTTATATTACCACGTCTTGATTTTTCAGTTTCTGATACTGTCTATTGACTTCCTACTGTGGAAGGCGAGAATTTAGCTCTTTCACATCATCTGTCCACATACACACTTCTGTTCCCCTCATCTTTTCAGGATAGTTATTTCCCAACTTTTGGTTAATCAATATTCTAAGTTTATGTTATTTGCTAGGTAAGTATCATTCACCTCTGAACCATCGTGCACGAGTATGTTTCCATTCTTACACCATTTTGTCCCCTTCATTTTTGTTTGTGTCTTTTCCTATGAACCTATCACTAATTCATCCTCCAAATCTCTAACACCACTGTAACATTTCTCAGTGTGGATAGGGTAAACACATCAGATTCTTTTTTGTTTGAAATCTTTCCTGGATTGATTGGACTTGTTCTTGACCTGTTATAGGTTGGGCACTGCTTTTAGTTTGCCAGAGCTGCCATAAAAATGTACCACAGACTGGGTGGCTTAAACAACAGATGTTTTACTTTCTTACAGTACAGGAGGCCAGAAGTCCAAGATCAAGGTGTTGGCAGGGCTGGTTTCTTCTGAGGCCTCTCTCCTTGACTTGTAAATGGCCATCTTCTCCCTTGGTCTTCACAAGGTCTTCCCTCTGTGTCTACGTCCAGATTTCCTTTTCTTATAAGGATACCCAGTCATATTGGATTAGTGCCCACCCTAATGACCTCATTTAAACTTACCTCTTTAAAGACGTCGTCTCCAAGTACAGTCATATTCTGAAGTCCAGGTGGTTAGGACAACTTCAACATATGACTTTTGCGGGAGCACAGCTCAACACATGACAGGCACGTTGGTTGTTCTCTACACCTGGGGCATAGCTCTTGCCCTGAGATTTCTCTTTGCCTTCACCCTGGTCCTTTCTTATATCCCTCTTCTGTTTCCTGGATCCACAGCTGCTGCATTCATGGTTTACTTCCCTGTTTGGTGGAGCATATCCTTCCATGGTTTCCCAAGGATTAATGGGATGTAAATTTTTTGAGGCTTTTGCATGTCTGAAATGGGTTTATTTTATTCTTGCACTGCATTGATAGTTTGATAGACTGTACAATTGTAGGTAAGCACTTTAAAATGCATTTATTCATTGTTTTCCATAGTTCATTGTTGCTGTTTGAAGCCTTGTACTATTCTGATTCCAGAACTTTTATTTGTGAACTGTAATTTTTCTTTCTGAAAGCTTTAGGATCTTTGTTTCAGGTGTCCTGAAAGTTCATGATATGACTTAGTGTGGGTATTTTTAAAATTCGTAATGCTAGATACTAAGTGAGGTCTTCCAGTCTGGCAGGCTATGTGCATCAGTTCTGGGAAATTTTCTTTTCACTTTATCTTCTCTATTTTCTTTTTGGGGAACTTCTATTAGTTGACTATTGGATTTTCTGAAATGTACCTCTAAGTTAATTAAATTTTTTCTTTTATTTTCCATTTTTAACCTTTCCTTTCTTCTTTTTTTTAAATCACAAGAATTTTCTCAGCTTTATTTCCACCCTTCTGTTGATTGTTTAGGTTTTCTTCTACATATTATATACATATTTTTCTGCTATATGTGTTTTTCTTAATAAATTTATTTATTTATTTATTTTTGGCTGCCTTGGGTCTTTGTTGCTGCACATGGGCTTTCTCTAGTTGCGGGGAGCGGGGGCTCTTCTTCGTTGTGGTGCGCGGGCTTAGTTGCTCCTCAGCAACAAGCGATTCTCATTATGGTGGCCTCTCTTGTTGCTGAGCATGGGCTTTAGGGCACGTGGGCTTCAGTAGTTGCGGCGCGTGGGCTCAGTAGTTGTGGTGCACGGGCTTAGTTTCTCCTCAGCATGTGGGATCTTCCCGGACCACAGCTCGAACCCATGTCTCCTGAATTGGCAGGTGGATTCTTAACCACTGCGCCACCAGGGAAGTCCCCTGCTATATGTTTTTAATCTCCAAGAGCTAGCTCTTCTTTTCTGAATAGTTTTTTTCCCCAGGCACTTCATTCTTTTATTTTTTTAAATGAATGCATTATCTTTTCTCTCTCTAAAGTTATCAGTTTTTAAGTTTCTTCTGTTCCCTGTGTCAGCTGTTTTTGTTTTCTCCTGTTTGTTGATGCCTTTCTCTCCTGTTAGATGTGATCTTGAAATATCTGGTGATCTTTGCCTGTCATTTAGTACTTAAGATTGAGGCACTCAGAGCTGATGGAAGTGTATGGTAGACTTGAAATAAGGTGGTCAGGCACCTTGACTTTTTTGTTTAGTTTCCCCTTGCTGCACACAATTAGGTTTTATTTTTCTCCATTCTAAGAGTTAATATCTTTGAAATTTTTATTGTTCTCTCTCTCTCTCTCTGTCTACCATTCATCATCCCTCCCATTCTCTTGTGAGTTCTTAATCTTTAGGAGTCTTATCTTCTTGGTAGGGTTTGAGTAAAGAGTAGAGATATAGGCATGAGTTCAATCTAGCCAGTGTAATGAGACTTTGCCATTAAATTGGTTTTGGGTTTAACCTCAGTCTGGTAAGCTTGATTTTTATGCCTCGTATCTCAGGACTGTAGGCCATTCAGGGCCCTAAGTCATGATTTGGACCCACAAAATCAACTACAAACACTCCTGCTATGGAGGTAGGCCCTATCTAGATCCTGTCTGAACCACATTTCTAATGTAATTCTAACAACTGCCCCAGAATTATGTCCTAAAACAAGCTCATTAATGTTATTCCCCTCTTGGAAACCTTTGATGGCTTACGGCCTTCAGAATCCATTTCCAACTCCCTGTCAGAGCCCTGTGTGATCTGCCTCCCAGCTGACTTTTCAAAGCCTCTGCTGTGTTCCACTCCATTCTTCAGTGTGCCAGCTGTTTCTTGACCACAACATTATACATGTTTATGCCACAGTATCTTTGTCTTTCAGGTTGTTCCCTTGGCTATAATGGCTCTCATATAGCCTCTGTGAACAAATCATTCTTGAAGCCCCCTCTCCTCAGTAAAGCCTTCTCTCCCAACCCTACCCCCTACTGAATTACTCCTTTTTCTACAAGGTACCTTGTATCACTATTTAGCATTTATTTCATTTATATCTCCTGTTATGTGAAACACAGGTTCTAAGAATGGTCTCAGATTCCCTCAACCTCTTCCTCCTCCCTGAAGGTGCCATCTGCCACCTGGACCACATTCTCTTGTTTT